ACGTACGGCTGTACAGTTAAGGATTTCTCCATTACTGATAAAAAAACCACCAAGAAAGCATTGTCTCTGGTCAATTTCTCGACATTAACTGTTCATAAGGAGTATCAAACTATGTAATCATGAAGGATTCTGTGACCACGTTGTAAAGAAAAACTAACTTCACTAAATTATCCCTTTAAATAACCTTTGTATATGTGGTGCGTAATATCATAATGACAATGGTTTCAATTATATCTCAAAGCAATATGTATAAATAGAACTGCAAACCTTGTTCTTTCTATAGACCATACGTCATGAATTATTAACGGAGAACCAGGTTTCTATATATGTCTGAACAATACACTCCTACCATTTATCCAGGTTTGTGGCAGTTTTACTCCAGTTAAATGACACACAGTTTCATATCTGTGCGTATATTATATGTGAAAGTACAAGTATAATATAAACAGAAGTTGACACCGTAGCAATATGCACACCCGCTATGATAGAAATAAATATCGGGCACACCTATTATCTACACCAAATTATACCTTCCGGTGGAAACACCCCATACAGGGCAATGCCGATCTACCATTGGGTTTATCTCCGTTGAGTTTACATTGGGAAGTATATCAGAGTGAGGTGTTCTCCGTTTCAAGACTTTTTGGGAAGCAATAGGAAAACTTGGGAGTTGGTAAATATCGTTACTAGTGGCACCAAGTCCGACAGTGCTATTCTAAATATGTAAATGTGGATGTCAAGCCATCTGATGCATGCCGTTACTTATCGTTTACTCATGTCGATTTGATCACGAATAGGACTGTACATATTTTAACAAACCAGGGCTAATAAAACCCGGCAAGCAGATCAACACACTGTTGCCATGCGGACACTATCTATTATAGATCCTCATCATCTGGTTACACATGTTAGAAACGTGATAACATCTGTAATGTTCAAATAACAAATGTGACAATTTTGGCCATGAAATCTTTACAAAGAGATAATTTTAGTATTTCTATCTATTGAAGATAAGCGGTGTATGCGCGTTGCGTTATATGATAAATAACAATAAATAACAAGGGTCTTAATATTTCTAAACGTTATATTTATAAATAGCTCAGCGCACCTTGTTCTTATTATAGAACATATGACATACCACAAGGGAAAACCGACATTTTATTTATGCATCATCGAATTTGCGTTTGTACTGCTATTGTTCAATTACACGGTTATTATCTGTCATAATAAGTCCAGTTGTTTAACTGTATGTAAACAGCATACGTGAGTCTTGCCTATCTCTAAAAATAGGTAAATGGGAATCCCAAGCGCTTGATATAGAATATACACACATGTTTCACTATATATGTATATCGTGGACACTTAGTTAGCTGTTTATGTATACAGGTATGTATTTAAACATTGTTGGAGCTACAAATACCTCCTTTACCACATCTGTTATTTCTGTGTTTATATATTGTATGATATGTTCGGTTCTAGTCTTTGATAGATACTGATACCAAGAAGAAGGGTTACATATGATTCCATATCATTGCTCAACTTTAAAAGTAAACTAAATGTTTTATTAAATGGAACTATAAAAACAAAATGTAATAATTTAATAATGGTAATTTTGTTGTTTCATCTTATACCTCAACTACAGCTAATGCGACCTAGTTCATGGCATTAATGATGCATCTCTTCATCACATTTAATATGGGAAGGGTGGGTTAGGGGCATAACTTTGTTTCTGACTTGGGATTGTCCCCATGTATTACCTAGATGTTTCACCTGAATCAATATATCTGATGTCATTTTCATGTATAGATTATATAACTATTGTTTTTATACAACCATAATTTTTACCTGAATTATTTTGTAATATTAATGTCAAATCAAAAAACCTTTTCAATCATAAACAAGTTATCTGGTGTTTTTTTTCGCAATACGTAATTAGTTTGTGATTGTTAAAGATTTGAAATTATTCATTGAAAATAACAGCAGTATAGAGATGAGTTTTAGTGTGAGACAGGACTGCCAGGTGTAGTATAGTGATGAGTGCTATTGAGAAACAGGACTGATAGGTATAGTATAGTGACGAGTTCTAGTGTGATACAGGACTGACAATTATAGTATAGTGATGAAGTTTAGTGTGATACAGGACTGACAGTTATAGTATAGTGATGAAGTCTAGTGTGATACAGGACTGACAGTTATAGTAAAGTGATGGGTTTTAGTGTCATACTTAACTGACAGATATAGTATAGTGACGGGTTTTATTGTGAGACTTGACTTGCAAATATAGAGAAGTGATAGTTATGACCGGCAAATATAATTTAAAATGTTCTCTCTTTTTTTTTGTAAATTTAGTGCAAAATTATGGTGTGTATGCTGTTGCTATGTTATAATGTAATCTTCTTAATTCTTCCTAGTTTTCAATAAATACTATTTTGTAAGTAAAATCCAAAGGGACATCGATAGGGTAAAACCAACATCTTATCTATATTGAATGCCGAAAAAGTGACGAAATGAGATAATCAAATCATCTTAACGACAAGGTTTTGTTACAAATGTTTATATTCTGTTCAATAGAGTATATGCTGTTGTTTCCAGCCAGATTGACATTTGATCTTGTAATTAAGTATCAGTAAATGTTATTCACATGATTTAAGTATATTTATTTAGCTGATTATGATTTTCTGCTTTAGCCGTGGCGATGCTTAGTTTTGTATTGTTGTGCATGATACCAGCCATCGGCTCATGCCAAGACATGGTGAGTTGCATGTACCGAATTGAAGATAATAGATGACAATAACGTTTAGCCCATCCTCATGTCATGATCTTTTGATCTGCAGCAATAGGGTTATTCCTTCATTTAGGTTTCAAAGTGAATGAGGTCGGACGATGTAGGAAAAATAGTAATATTGTTTTCAGCAACTAAAAAAACCGCATTTGCAATATAATTTATTCCACAACCATTGCAACTCAAACACGTTTCTTTAACTTCTTTGTATAAATTGTAAACAATATTCATAAAACGATGATCTGCTCTGTGATATGTACTAAACAATGATTCTACATTTGATATAAATTATATGTTTTGTTTTAAAGAAGAACTGTAGCCACTACGTCCCTGGGAGTGATCCCTCGGTAAGTAAAGAATAAATATTAAGGTATTCTTTAGTATACTCACGAAATGATATATTGCTCTGAATGTATCATAGGATCACATTAATGAGGAAATCCCATCAGGAATACTATACATAAAAGTTGATTACTTTTATTCGTAAAAACAATTCATAACAGGCCAAATGACCACTGGATATCATTTTCTATTAGTTGATTT